GGGTGTATGGGGGTATTGGGGGTGGGTGTATGGGGGTATTGGGGGTGGGTATGAGGGTGTTGGTGGGGTTATTAGGGATTCTGGACCCAAAAAATAATAATAATTGTGGGGTGCCGACGACCCCCGACCGGTAGGTGCCGACCAGCCAACTGGTCGGCTGGTCGGCTGGTTGGCTGGTCCGCATCCGACCAGTCAAGGGCCGCCGACCATCAGGTTATTATGCAACATTGATATACACACAAAAACAACACATATGCATGTTCTGCTGTGGCGCAGATTCTCTCTCTCTCTCTGGTTAATGATACAGTCCGATGCCATTAAGAAACTAGTGGTTGAATTGACCCGAGCTTATTTAACCACAGCAACCATGATTACAGCGGTACAAACTGGAATCAAGAGGTTTAGTTGGATCACAACTATGTGGGGAGGAGATTCAATACAATTAAAAACACCTATGTTATTTGCTGCAGGATTCAGCTTCTTGTTTATGGTCAGCATCTTGTCACCCTAATCCTCCTCTCTTCCTTTATCTCCCTGCAAAACTTGTCGTTGCGACGGTGTGACCCCTTCTTTACTTCTCCCTTCTCAGCCCTCTTTCTCCCCTCCTCCTCCCCTCCTCCTGCCATTACAACTCTTCAGCCACCTCCTCGCATTCCTGTTCCATGAGCTCGCCCTACTGTTGTTCCTCGTCACCACTGACCACAGATCCCTTTCTCTTCCTGCTCCTCGTTATCCCCGCTCAGTCCTCTTTCTCCCATCCTCCTCCTGCCACCTCCTCGCATTCCTGTTCCATGTGCTCGCCCTACTGTTGTTCCTTGTTACCCTTTACCACAGATCCCTTTCTCTCCCTTCTCCCCCCCCTCCTCTCCTCCTCTTCTCCTCCTCCTCCTCCACATCATCCTCATCGTTGTTCCCTCTCTTGTAATTGTCATTCGCCCTTTCTCCTCCTCATCGTCAGATCGTAATCCATGGGTTTGTTTGTTGCCTCGGTGACGTCTACCATTGCGTTTCAGAGAATAGTGCACATGAAGTGTTGTAGACTTAACAGGGGGAACAAGAAAAAAAGAAAGGAAAGGGCCCGTGCCCACCCTAAGTGAAGGTGGGCCTGCACATATGTGCCAATGCCTGTTTATAGGCCTATGAGACCAGGCTGAGGGCAGTGCCATAGCCAGCCCTACATAGCCAGGGCTTGGCTTGCATAGCCAGTGGAGGTGGTGGTGGTCTTCGTGTGCGGGTATGAAGACGTGGGTACACAAGACAAGGGGGAGAGAGAGAGAGAGGGAGAGAGAAATGAGGATGATCATGTGAGGGCACGTGCCTGGTCTTGGCGATGGTCTACAGGGTCGACATCTTCATGTACTTCGGTTGTTGCTGCTGACGTCAACAGGATGCATTCATAGGCTGGTAGTAGCTGTGTGATCGTAGTCTGGGCGCTGAGCGCAAAGTAGGAGGAAGGGCTCTGGATACATATGTTGGTGGTGGCGAGAGTATGCTCTCATTGACATTCGGATTCGGTGCTTTGATCCGTTGGTGTAATGTCAGTGCATTACTGCTTTCTGGACAGCGTTGGACTTTCTGGCTTTCAATGTGATTTTGCATTCTGGATATCTGTCATTTCGCTATCGCTCATTTTCCTTGCATCTTTCTTTTTTTTTCTTTTCTTTTCTTTTTTTCTTTTTTTTTCTTTTTTTTTCTTTTTTTTT